CCAGACTGGATCGCTGTACACAACGACGCACAAAAATTCAGATCGTGTTAACCGATGGCACGCAAGTGAAGCTACACTTTATCGGCGGCCAAACATCCTCCCCTTTTGGGAGACGTCCTGATAAAGAAGAATGTCTCACAAATAGTACAGGTCGAACGATGACATCTTGGTTGCATTTAAAAATCATAGTAACAGGTGAAAGGTTACAAATATAAAAAAAATCAAACGAATTGGCTGCAACGAAAAATTTGTAACTTTCATGGCGCCTTGAAAAGAAAGGGTCACCAACCCACTGGGCGAGACACTGTATTGTCGGACCACAGTAGGATTAAAAAGAAAAATTAACTATTGTAAATTAAAAGCAATTTAATATAAAAAAAACTATAAAAGTATTAAAGGTTAAAGTTGATGTCCGTTGAGTCGTTGATAGTTGATGTACACCAATACCTCGTGACAGTTGTCACATAACCATATAGATCAGGGATGACCTTATACAAGCATCAAAGCTCAACCCCGGAGTTGTGATATAATAACAAGGATCAAGCCCATAATTAACTAAACACATTTTTCTAAAATTTTCAAATATATCAGCCAAAAGAAAAACATCAGTTTTTAAATTTAAATCTGAATAATCTCTCAATGTTGAACAATTAAATTTTTCCCAAACTTTTTTTGCATGGGCATAATCCTTGTCTGATATATCACACATATTTAAAATATTACGAAACGAATTGATTTTATTAATATTCCAAAGGAGAATATTACAGTATTATAAATTATTATCCAGTTATTATATAAAAATTATAACGCTGTAGCATACAGTTGATCTGCTCAACTCGAACAAAATTATAAAGTTAACTTACGTTTATTTATAAGCTAACAAATTTTTATTAACAAATAATGTTAGCTAATCATAAGAATAGAAAATATTACATTTTTTTCATAAAAAAAAGACTTACAAATTAATGCTATCAATATTTAAAATAATTATTCAATTAACTATTTATTATAATCTTTATAACAATTATAATCAATGCCTTAACTATAGAAATTTCAATTGAGTATTATAAATTATTACTCAGTAATTATATAAAAATTATCTTTATTTCGATGTGACCGTTTAGTGTTATGTTAAACATGTCACCTCTATAACAAAATTTTAATTTCGAAAAGATTAATTTTATTGGATTAGACTACAATTTCTTTTAAAAAACAGTAATAGGTAGAATAAAGATTGTTATGCCGCCGACTCGAAAACACCTCTTGGTCGGGGCACTCAGTATTTTCGCCTTTATACATAAAAAAATTTCAGACTTCTGATTCAGGCTTTTCAAAAAATGTCTTTTTTGGTTGTTATTTTTTATATTATATTACCCTTTACTATTTTCTTTTATAATGTATACATATGTTCATTAAATATTAAGGTTATTTTGTTTAAAAAAAGTTGTTGAAGATGAAGATTCATTATTATTCTGATTAAAATTATACAATATATGGAAATAACTTGAAACTTATTTAATTATTTAATGCTGATATAATTTCATTTTATCGATACTTCAACTTAAATGCTTTAGGTATTTGAAAATCCGAGAATTAGTAAACTTCAAATTAGTCTATACAGTTTTAATAACTTATCTTTTAGAATACAGTTATTAAATCCAATATTGTTCAAAGGAAATACATAGAGTATAGTAGACACTTATTTGTAATTAAACATGAATGAAAACTTTTTTTTGTAATTGACTAAAACAAATTTATTATATTGGGTGAAATAAGATTTAACTATTGTATGCAACTATGCCATTTTTTACATTAAATTAAACAATTTTCTTGTTTATTTTATAAACTTGGCATTATACCTTAGAAATTAAAGGCCTATAAATAGTCAATTAAATTATTATCTGCTTTAGTTCGTGTTTGAAGTTTATGTGCATTTTGTCTTACTCACGTAATATAAAAAATCAATATGAAATTTCTACACGCCATCGTTTTTTTTCTTTATACAGTTGTGTTAAGTATAACAGTTGTACTGGAAACAGTCAAACGTATTGTCTATTTGATATGGCGAGATGAAATTGATCAAATTTATGACAGACATTATAACCGTACCCATAAGAATTTTGGTGAATTTAAAAACGCCCAGAACTTAGAAAAATTTTTTAATGGAAATGGAAACGTTGTGACTGATAAACTGGACGTTGAACATTTAGAGAATTCAGTTAGTTTTAATTACACCGTAATGATTTGTTCTCGAGAGCAGTTTGACAGTTTCGGTGATATAGTAAAAAATTTCATCAAACCGACTTCTACGGAATTGCAGATTCAAAATGATAAACTTACCAGTGACCAATGTGTCCAAGTTGACGACGCTATCTTTGGTGCTGTCTTAGTAAAAGACATTGCACGAACAGCTGGAAGAGATATGTGAAAACTTAGAAACGTCGCCATTACTTGATAATACGGTAGAATATTTTGACATAGATGAATCTTGCTCGCTGTTTGTGTGCTCATTGGATATTGGTACGTCTTTTGTATACCTCAACGATTTATTTTCTATTAACATTGTTAATGGTTATGAAAAAATGAACGATTATACGATCATTACATTTAACATCGTAGTTCGGTCGATGAAGTGCTGATCAAAGGAAGTTATTTTATTCGTAATAAAAATGTAGTATTTGTCAATACATCTCTAGCTAATATAAATTTATATGGTGAAAAATATGAAATCATTAAAGTTGTTGGACCTTTTGAGGAAACTACTGAAAATTCGCAAATTTGTGCTTTTATTTCAACAATCGACGATATGAGGTTGATTAACTCTGTTAATGAAGAGGATAATAAATTCTTTGTTTATCTCATCGATAAAGACACCATGGGCTATTAGTAACTTTAAATAAATAATTTCTTCCGTATTTATAGTCCATAAACTCTTATATGCTATAATAATTTAGCATATAAATTAACCTGTCAACGAAACTTTACAATATAATTTGTATTGTTTTGGAAATCAATATAGTTCGTATGCATAGGTAAATCATATAAGGCCACCATAGAGATGTTCTGTTGATGATATTTTTCAAAAAAATATATATTTTATATACTTCAAATATAATTAAAAATTTTTATCACTCATTTTAACATTACTTTCGACGTATTTAAAACTTGAACTTAAAAAATATCTGTTAATATGTATTTTGTAAATAATAATTTAAAAACTAATTACTATTTTATTTGTTAAATTTAAAAAAAAATCAAAGTTACATTTTTTTCTATTGTTATAAACTTTATATTTTGTCATTAGTTATAAGTTACGTGTTAAAATAAAAATATTGTTTGTTATTTGAATATGTTTTTCATTTTTATAGAATTAACTAAATTAATAGGTTACAAATAACAGTGATATATTATTATTTTAATAGTCAAAGAGTGAAATATTTCAAATACGAAGACTACAAACAAAATTATTAAAAAAATAATTGACAAAAAATTAATTTTATCTAATATAAATCAATACTTGTTCTTTTCTAAGCAATATTTTCAAAAAATAAATTAAAAAAAACGATTTTAATAGAGAAAATATAGGTTTTTAGAGCTAATCATTTGGTGACTGGCTACAAAAAGAATTGCGAATTTAATTAGAGTAACTATTATTTTGTCTATTGCGTATATCACTGTATTTTAATAGGTTTTATTGGAAACACATCAGTGGTGTTAGTGATATACAAAATTATTAGGATGCAGTCACCTCCTGTCGTATTTATTGGTAACTTGCCTGTGACTGATTATTGTAGTATACACACCATCTACTCTAATTAATTTAGTATAAAAACGAATTCTTTATTCCTATTATTTGTGAAGATATTTAATTATTAAAAACATATTTTAAACATTATAATAAAATATTGCACTATATTGAACTTGCACCACTAATATTTTAAATAGACAATATCAGTAAAAAAAAATAAGTAAATTTAAAATAACGAAGTAACTTAAAAAGAACAATATATTATTTTGAATGAACAAAAAAAGTATACTACATATAGAAATTAAACACAGTATTTATTAATTGTAAGAAAAAACCAATTATTTTACAAACTTCAATGTAACAATACGATCATCAAATTGTAATAACAAACACAACATAAAAAATAATTCATAATAAAATATTGATATTTAATAATTTAAATAAAGATTTTTGAAAATTATTGCTTAATTTAATATAATTATTCTTCTTTAGTTACAAGTTAAGTTGTAACATTTAAATATACATCATTATGACATTAACAAAATACAAAAAAAAAAAAAAATTAAGAGGCAGAAATTGAATACTGTTTAATAATAATACAAAAATAACTATAACAATAACATTGGTACAACTTAGAGGAAATGTAAAAATAAAGGAACTTGTAACTATAATATTGACATTTCGTGTGATCATAATATATAAGTATTGGACTAACATAAATGGTAGAAAAATGATAAAACTGAGAAAAATCAATATGGTTATAAGCAAAATATGAGAATGAAAAAAAAAATTATATATATATAAATTGTAATAATTATTTTATAAGTTTTGATAAATTAAACATTATATAAATTTAACTAAGTCTCTTAAGTATAGTCGAATGTGCTTAAATAACTTAAAGATTTAATTGAATACACAATTCGAGATCAATAATATTTACAACATACAATCAGTTTAGAAACATATCAGAAAATGTAATTTAATTAGATAAAATCAATTATACATTATTACAAAATTACTTGGAAATTTTGTTCAAAAAATACAAATAAAACAGAATTTTGTTTATTTAACATACATTGATAAAATAAAATCTATTAATATAATCCGCGATATGGAAAACATTATATACAGAAAAAAGATAAGGAAATTTTTTTCAGAGTTTTTGACAACGATAATAATTTGTTGAACAAGTTGACCAAATTATAACTTTGAGCAATAATCAACATCTAAAAGTCACAATACACATGTAAAATTGTCATTGCTTGTCAAGTGTTTTATCATAAATATTTTCTTGAGCAATATAAAAACTTCTTATTATAGGAAATAAATATCATTTCTTTAAGAAACTTAAACAGTACATTAAAATGTAATATTAATTTCATTATACTTAGAAGTATATGTGTGATTGAATACACAAAAATGTAATATCATAGTTTGATAAAAATACAAAATAAAATCAAACAAAACGAATTTTCATAAATTGGTCTAATAATTTGTTAAAGAATTGAAAACTAAATTTGGTAGATAAAATAGTTTAGATATTGATATATTGATATATCAGTTAGTCTCTGAACCACTTATAAATTCAATATTTGGCTGTAACTGAAAAATAAAATGCAAGTTTAAAAATATATATAACCATTAACAATTAAATCCAATAAAAATAAATTATACAGAGCTTAAGGGGTGTAGGTATACATTATTTATATGGGGCATGTGGTTTAATTAATTTCCCATTATATTTATTAATCTTTGGTTACAATTTTGGAAATAGGTTTTTAAATTTTTAAAAATTCTAAGTAAAATCATCAAAATCCAAATGTTTTTATGATTTCTTTTGCTATTTTAATAGCTCTTAACTTTTTAACTAAATTAAAAAAATTTTGTATTTAATATTAATATTAAGTAACATATTAACTACATTAGAGTACTATAGTTTTATTAATATTACATTATAAAAAATAGAAAAAACAATTACCTTTAGTTTAAAATGGAATGTTACGAAGAGCAACATCAGCCAAAGTTTGTAGATTGACATTTGGATCAGGTAAGAAACAATCTGATAATATAAAATGAAATATTACTAAATTATGAAACATTTGAAAAGTAATGTTAAGTACTTACTCATTGTATCATTTTGACTTTCCACAAAAGTTTTTGATACACGTTTCTTGTAATGGACTAAAGTTGAATTATTACTACAATTTGATTTGGGACTTGATAATCTACTAGAATTAGAATCTGAGGACACTGGAGAAGACAGTCTTTTAGTTTCATTGGTAATAATTTCTTTGTAGTTGTAATCTCTAAAAATTGAATTTATATTTTTAAATTTTCAAATTTATACTAATATTAATAAATTAAAATTTAAGTAAAGAAGAAATAGAATAGCTAATGCAGTAATTGAGCATCCAGAAAGGAATATTACAAATAAAAAAAGACAGCAATTATTTTTGGTAATAGTTAAACTCAAATATCTTAAATTTTTTTCAAATTAATTTTTTTTTGTGTAGAATAAACATAGAATTTATTGTTGGATAACCTTTAAAACAGAACTACGTTTTCGTTGCGGGCGTTAAATGCGTTCCACGCTATCATATAATTATCCGCCGTTAGTGGCACAGATTTTATAATCGTCAGTGGAGGAGCGGACAAACACGACATTAATAAATGAAAGCGCATGATAACAGAAACTTCTATATTATTATGCACCAGATCTTCTTATGTATCACGAAAAGAGCACCAATCTGTTATATTTCCGTCGAACTTAGGCAAATCAAATTTCGGAAAAGAAACTGCGTGCACGGGTCTGGCATACGTTTCGTTTTTATTCATCCCTTGTTCCATATGAAAAACCGGTTTTGTTGATAATAACACACATTTAATTTTTCCGCACATTTATTCGAATTCATCGGCAATAACTTCGTCTTTTGATTCGAATTCTTTTACGCGATCGATATCGACGAGCGCGTCTAGTATTGCATCCTGTTGTGCTTCAAATTGCATTGTGTATTTATCTACTGTGTCCGCGCATGAAACAAATAATTGTAGTTTAGACGAGCGGCTCGCGCACGCACTAACACAGCGATTGTTCCGGTACAATGTTGACGTTCTTATTACGCGGCATTGTAGTGTCTTTTGTTTTTCACAACGACGGAAAATCAAATGCTATATAAATTCTAAGCCGCAAATAGGCACTTATCCAAAATACCGCAGTAAGTGCGTAAAGATAATCAATGGCCAAACAAAAAATTCATATTTTGGCCATGCCTTAGCGGAAGGAAAGGAGAATATAAAAATGTGGAAATTGAGCCTCACAATATACTAAATAGAAAGAAAAAAATAACATATATATATATAATAATCACAATATGATATTTTTCTGTTATGATAAAAAATAACAAACAAACAAGACCAAAATGATAAATAGAATTAGCAAAATTAATAATGAAAATAATAACATACATCTCCTGTTTATAACCAATAAATATTATGTGGACTGTAAATCCGTTAAATAACAATAAAAAAAATTATTAATAATTACCCACTGCCGTTTGGAGCTGATGAATAATGTGAAATCCGGATACAGGAAGGGCAAACAACACCGTCACATTCAAAAAAACGATAAGCAGCTCAGTTCAACGACTATGGTTACAAGGTAATACACGATCCAAATACTTGGCATCGATATGACCGAAACGACCGAATGATAAAGCGCGAATGAAATTAGTTTTCAATGCCATACGTTGCAGGGACCGGTCTAAGCAGCAGCGCCGCCGTACCGTTACGAAAGTGGTGGTTTTTTAGTAGAAAAAAAACACTATGATGGTCGCGGCGTGTATTAAAAAAAACGCGGAATCTCCGGTCACTAGACGGCTATAGAAAGTGAAAATAAATTGCGTTGTGTCAGCGGCATACCTGTCGTGACAAACACAAACGTGTATGATGTGATCACTGACCTGCTCTCTCTCACTTACCGTGTTTTCATGTTAAATATATCGCGTCACCTCACATTAATGTGTATCTAACACACATACAAGTGAAACTAATATAAACGTGTTAAAAAAGAATTTGATAAAATATTATTTCTAACGTATAAATATTTTATCTATGAAATAGTATAATATAGTACATATTTATTTATTTACTTAAATATCATAAATGATCACCTTATGATGAGTTTCATCATCACCTCCCCTTCTTATGTATTCCCACATGTAGATTAACCCTCCATACTTGTGATATCTACTGCCATGAGAGAACCCCTCCATTATACTCTTAACCTTTCATGGGAAGGGGGTCATATGCCTTTCATCATATCCCCCCGGCCGTTTACACTGCCCGTCAACATATGACAGAGTAAACCCACATCATGTGGGTGAGGGGGACTATGCCTTTCACCATATATCCCCGGCCGTTTTGGTGGGGTCCTTATTCATACTTTATAGTACTACTGCATTTACGTTTATAGCCTTCCCAATATGGTTGGGTTTTAGTTTGAAAAACTACCGACTACATATTAGTTTACCAGTGTCCACTAACATTTTTTGCAAAAAATAAAAAGGTCACTTAGGATAGAAAATTTGGCGACTGATTCTTATGTCCATAGGGGTGGACACCCCCACCATCCCCTGCATAGTGGCCACTCATAAGTAAGAAAGACCACAGTACTATAATCCTCAGTACGCCACTACTGTCGGCTAAATGTGTCGGATTCACGATTAAAAGAGATGAAGTTTATATGATCAGCATAAAAATTTATTTCATTTTCAACTTTTATTATATTACTAAAAAAAAAAATTTAGGCCAGTGTTTTTGTTAGTAAATATAAAATTATTAATAATCTTATCTTATTAAATTATAACACGAAAATATTATTTTAAAAAAGAGCAAGTAAATTAGTTGATTTAGGAAAGTAAATAACAGTTATTTTAAAATACTATCCCTTAAAGATGATTAAAACATAAGATGTTCTCGTCAAAATATATTCTTAAATTTATCAATAACTTCAAATTTAGAATTAAGTATTTTTGTGTAAAACTGATAACGGATCAAATTTTGTAAGGAATTTACTGAATTTAGTGATATTTTAGAGGCTGAACATAAAGTAATGAAATTTGTATCAATTTTTGATAATCTGAAAAATTTAGATTAGAAATATGATAATGATGAGATTAAAAGTATTTATTTACCTATACATAGAATATATGCAAGTTATTTTTTAAATTTAATTGCAACTTCAAATATTGAAACATTTGTTAATAGCCTAAATTATTCAAGTTTTATAATCTTATATAAGTCAACTCATATTAATTCACAAAATATTTTAGTTTAGCCATTTTTGAACTTGTCACAAAAGTTATAAAATTAAAAATTGGGTATTAAAAAAATGACCGAACAACTTTTATTAATTAGATGACTCATATTTCAATTTTCTTCAAAATTAACCTATGAAATTAAAGATGAGTATTTTAGAAATATGATCTTGTTTGAACGGAACGCCCGGTTATAATATGCGGGTTAGTTAACGTCCGTTTGGGTTATCTAATTATGCCGGAGAAAGAAATAGGGAGTGGACTGTATATAAGATTGAGGATGGTACTTACACTAAATAAAATAATAAGAATTATAAGACAAGGAGTTATATATTAAAATAACAATATATATATATATATATATATAAATTATCATAGAATTGTGGATTGGGGGGGGGGATGTCACTTAATAATAAAATGGCCAACAAGGCATCTCTGAACAAAATATATGAAATATAATATAATAATTACAAACAAATAAAAACTTAACTGTGTAACGTACAATAGATGAAAGATGACTGATGACGGTGAGAAATGAACAGTTGGAATACTTTACATTAAGATGTTGAAGACTACAAGGGAAGTCGATACAAACGGAGGCACTTGTTATGTACACGAAGGGCGCACAATGCCATAGACTGGTATAGCAATTTTATACCCACGACGAATCACCAAGGCGGTTAATCCATTAAAGCGACTATGAGCTAGGTGCACCATAAAACCACGTAGCAAGGGCTAGCAATGGTGACGAGAACGCAAAACTCACAAAAGGAACCGATAATAGTTCGGCGAAACATAAGAATCACGTACACTAGCATCCAACGTAATAAGGAATCTTCGCACAACCGGTGGTGGCAGCGCGAGTGGCGCTATCAGTCACAACAAAATCTAAAAAAACGTTCTCTTGTGATGCGTATCAAACATACTCCCGACGTTGAAAGCTAAAGCTTATATAGATACATAGTTTATTATTTTTAAAAATATATAATTAATAAAGTAATAAATAAATTTAAATTATTCGTATATAAAATAATACTGTTCGTAAGTATACAAAGTATATAATAATTGTAAAAATATATTGAAATGAAACTTTACAATTCCCAGAGTAAATTAGTTCACTACTTTATACTTTTAACGTTAAGTTAATTATCTTAACATAAATGACGGATCGGGGGGTTTTACTTGACAATCGTATAATATCAATTCCAAACAGTAACTTTATTATACATATATATATATATAAACTAATAAATATTCAATATATCAATATATTAACATTAGAATAATAATAGTAAAAAAAAACAAACAAAAACGAAACATCACCCAGCCATCAGCTATCCATAGTGCAATTAACGTTGAATGGACTGCTAAAACGCTTCCCAAAGTAATTGTTCCTTTTGCGTATGGAATGTCAACCTCCGCTGCTCTATTTCCGTTGAGCACTCGAGTAATAGCACGTAACTGGTAATATAAAGTGTTGGTTGTCACCTAAACAGGCCAATACCAACCAAAAAACAATGAAACAAATTAAAAACACGACAGCTCACTGGCCACGAGTCATCAGACTCAAGAGATGCGGTACGACTTCAATCGCGTACACCGACGTAGTGCTCGCAAGGTGCCGGTAGTGCCGGACACGATTGTTGTCATTACATTGAGAGGGGTAATACCAACTCGAGCTATGTGTAACTTTACCGGCTACACACATAACTTTTGAACAATAATATTATAAAAAAGCTATAAATATATTAGTTAAAGAAAAACAATAAAAATATATAAACAATAGACTAATAATAAAATAATTAGTCTTTTTTAGTTTTTATAAAAAATGTTGATATAAAAAATTACTAAGGATTTACAATTACTCATCAAAAAATATGACTTAATAATTATTTATTATTTAATAAAATAGCAAAGACTAAATATATTTCATATTATCTGAGGAAGTAGTTAGGTTTATTAATATATATTTATGCTAATTATTTTAAATACTAATTAAATACCACTTGGATTGATTATTTTATCACTGAGTCCGTGTAATTTATCAATAACTACTGTTATTTTCTTGGTTGTTTAGGTGTTTTTGTTGTTCTCCGTCTTCTACTTGTCGAGATTGATTATTTTGATATTCATAATTATGAGAGCCTTCATGATTTTGTGACACTTTTAATTAAAATGCTGTAGACTTTCCTGATAATGTGATTGATAAATCTTTTCGTAAGGGACTGGTATTTCAATTTTAAAAGGAACTTTTGTTTAGTAAGACACTAACTGTTCTACTGGATAGGATATGTGTTTAATACAGTAACTGGATACGGTAAATTTTTATATACGGTACATAGTTGAGGTTCTTTAACTCTGACTGGGTACCAAACATGCTTTTCGACTCCAACGGGATACGGTTGAGCTACTTTTTTGATTGTCTTAGACAACATTTTGCTATTGATCCTGTTGTCCATAATTATGGAAATCACGTTCACTTACTTGATGCCCATATCTGTATCTATTACAGAAATATAATGTGAACAAAAGCTAAAAAAATCCCTTTTTCCTCAAAGTTTTTGTTTCCCGATGGGTTGTCCTTAGATTCTCCTGTATCATTTGTTTCGTTTGCACTCAAACAATAAGTAAATAATAAAAATTTACATAAATAAAATATTACGATTTAAATTGTGGTAAATTTAAATGAACCTAAGCAAATGGCTTTTTACGAAAATATTGTTTTGCTTTTGCAGGGGTGGCTGATCCCAAATAGTTGGGATTGAGGTGAGGAAAACTAAGAATGTTTTGCTTTTGTAGTAACCCGTGTCTAGGATAGATGATTATTGTAAACCTCTCTTTTAATGTTGATCTACTTTCTAACCATTATCCATTGTTTTATTATAACCTAAGACAAATGTCATAATGATGTTTTAAAAATAGTTACAAAGTAATAATTAATTAGAATATATATATTTAGTGTATGGTTATCTAATTATATAGAAATTACTTAATTTACGGATACTTGTTACAATTACAATTATAAGTGTTCAAGAAATTAAAACTCTTGACGACTACCTTCAAATTTTCAAACATTTAATTTGATTAAAAATTTTAATTTAAAAATAAATATATTTTAGTACAAATTAATATAGAGGTTGCTACAAATATTTTATATACTAAGAATATAAGGTATTATTACATATCATAATATATAGTTAAAACAATTTTTAATTAGCACCTCTAATAGGTATATGGTATATTTAATATTCTACATTAGATATTTTTTACTAATGGATTTTAATATTTAGAAAATTAATCTACCAAAAACTTTTCTTTGAAAATTTACGCTCTAAAAAGTTATAGTAAGATTAGATTTCGCTAAAAAAAGATTGCCTAAAATTTAAGAGTGAACTTTATTAAAATATCTAGCTTATTAGCGTGACTTAAAAGTAAATAAAAAAAACCCGGCACAGTGGGGTCGTGGCATAGTTGGGTCCAGTATAGATGATATCTGACAGTGATTAAAATCACTATCATAAAAAACGATTCGATGCAAATCTGTAGACAGTGTTTAATTTAAAAAAAAAAAATTTGTTAAAATAGCATATTTTCGAATACGGTAGGCATTTGCGTATAGAAGATAGGTCGTCAGGACAAATTTTTTTTTTTTTTTATAGTACATAAAATAAGCTTTAATTTGATATATGTTTAAACATATTTCAGAAACATTTTCAAAAATTAAGTTGAAAAAGTAATTTTTTGTAAAATAGTTACTATTTTAAATCCCCCCAGTAAGCAGAATAAGTGTTAGATTTTCAAAAAAAATTATATCACATGAAAGGGAAATATCTAAAGTTTCAATACAAAAAAATATTATTTTTATTTGTTCAATTTTGAAAAAAGTTATGGCAGTTTTAAGTACAAAAAACATTCTGATAAAAGGTGATTTTTATCGCAAACATTACATTTTTTTTTAATTTTCGACAGCCATTAGCACATAGAAGATAAATATTATTGGGACAAATTTTTTTTTTTCATTTGATAGTTAATAACATAACCTTTGATTTGATATATGTTTAAAGGACGCACTATTTCCGGAACATTTTCAAAAGTTCAGTTGAAAAAGATCTATGTTTTTTACAATATTTCAAGTTTTGAACGCCCCCTATATAAAGGAAAATTGTCCAATTTTAATAAAAAGTATGTCAAATGAAATATGTACATATAATGTATTTAGAAAAAAAAAATATGTTCATTTGTTGATTTTTGAAAAAGTTATGGAAGTTTTAAGAAAAAAAAGACAAAATTTACCGATTTTTAAATTTTTAATTTTTTTGGATATTTCCCCCATTTTCGGGGAACGAGGGAATTTTTTCAATTTTTAAGAATAATGTCTCCAACTAGATACGATTGGTGATCTTTTGGCGTATTTTTTAAAGAAATCGGTACAGTGAGAGCTGAGAAAAAGTGGCAACAGACATATAAAAAAAAAAACACA